TTCGATCGCTTTCCGGTGTGTTTGGCGTACTGCTGCAACCGCATCATCACGTCGTGGTATCCGTGTCATTGGGAATATGACGCCTTCTTGGAGACGCTGTATTCGAGGATTCAAGGAGTCGGTAAGCATCCAACCCTCGTTGTCAGCTGCAATGACTGACAGACGTGTTATAGAAGAACCAAACACTGCTGAGAGATGGCGGGCCATCACCCGCGCCCGACTTGGCCCTTCGGATAACAGAAAAACCCAGATGATAGAATTCATGTGCAGCTCTCTTCTCAACATCCTAGTTCCGTCAGGTTGGTGGAAAGACTGCCCCTTGACGCGGAGTATCATAGAATAAACTTTCGATCGTGGCAACGCTAGCTATTCGCCTCCACGTCATGCTCGGGGAGGATAGATCGCCTGAGCGACTGCAGACGCTCTTGATACCACCAGGAACCGACTTTGACGATGAGTTTATGGACAACGATTACGCTGAGGGGAATGAGTCGGATGATGGAGATGAGGTGGTCTGCACTTCCGATATTGGCCGGCGAAGAGTGACGAGAGACGGGATAAACGTAATCGTGAAACCCAAGGTCATTGTACCTGCCGTTCTCGAGCAGATGGGGCTATAAACGTTCACTGAAGAAAGCTGTCAGAAAAATTCAAAGAAATTATTTAATTGCTTACATAATCAACTTCACGAAAATAAGGAGAACGTCGGGAGAACGTCCAGAGCAATCTTTTAGGGAGGCGGGGAGATGATGTTTATTCGATAGATACCAGGAAGCGATGTGAGTGGACTCACAGAGACATTCATAGAGGGCGTTCAACTAGAATGAAGTGTCCAATCGACGTTTGAGTGGTTGAGCAAGAAAACTGCACTCTGCACTTGGGCCTCTTCAGCGGTACCTCAGCCTGCCACATTGAGCGAGGAATTGAAAGGAAAGCAAAGGTCCCCTAATCAACCAGCCAGAATGGCGCATCCGACGATAAGGGTGTTCTTCCAAACCACACCAGTTTGAACTTCTTGACGGTTTGGCTCCCACTGGCAGGATTCCCGCGGCAACAATTTTACAAAAGTCGGAGCACGAGAAACTCCCTGAGGCTTTGGAGGCGATTCCATGTAAACGGCTGCCGACTAATCGCTATCTACTGAACACACGGAAATTCAGTAAAAACTGGTGCGCTTTATCATCGAGTTCAAAACTCACCTTTTGATCATGAATGAAACTTCTTGTCCCGACCATGTCTGGATACCAGTCTTGAAGCGATGTGCACAATTGGGCTGTCCGCTGCACATGTAAGACCTCAGTGCTATCTCCTGCTCGAAGTCGACGTTTTCGATCGAATCGGATCGATAAAGTCAACTAGCGGTTCCAAACGAACAATGGAACCACGGAAAAACACCTTCGCAACACCATGGTGCGTTTCAGCACCAGCTTCACGGATGTTTGCATGAGTGATCACTGATGCCCTTGTGTACCTGTCAATCGAGTCGTCCAACGTCGTTGGACGTGAAGACTGCACCAATAGTAAGATGTAGAAGTCTTTCAAGGAGTACAATCGCTTACGGTAGTCCTATGCAACGTTCTCGCATCCTCTCGTCGTCCACGACGCGTCGCAATGCTGTGCGGTTTCACAAGATTCGTGCTCCGTGGTGAATCCGATCGTGGAAAGCGGCGTCCATTGCGTTCTTGGCTTATTTTCCCCTGTCATTTGTACATTAAGTACAAGGGTTCATCGTTGAATGTTATAGGTAATGGTGGCCGAGTTCAACAGACGTTGGGTTGTCGGAGTCGGGAACAGGTTGCAAGTGACAATGGTGACAACTGTTTCCTCATTGTTTCCACCACCCTCCACGGACAACATGGCCCAGTGAGGGCTACAAACACTCTCTGAGTATCTTATGGTCCTCAAAATTGCGGAAGCTTTCGCGTCTTCATTCTTTCCGACTCAATACATCGTCCACATCGTCGTTGGGATTGTAGTCGTCCTCACGCTACATGCCGTCTGCCAAGGCCGACGAACGACCCGTGAACGAGATGTACATGCCAGAACGGTGTTGATAACGGTGAGCACAACTGCATTTCGCATTGCTCTGTGGTTTGACCGCTGAGAAACACCATCTAGGGCGGATTTACACCACTGGGTCCAATCAGTAGCCCAACGCCGAGGAGCCCACGTAATCGCTCTTTCCCCAGACCCAATCGACTCTGCCAACATAACTATCCTCATCAGTCTCCTCCGCACAACCACCTCGAATGAACAAATATTCGCAGAGGAATGCGATGTCTCCTTACCTGCCTCCATACGCTCTTTCTGTACTCGATTTCTCACCAGGCAAGACCAGAGAATCGACGCTATCATCTTCGCGCACGAGTACCACCAAATTGGCTCGTTCTTCTCGCGTAAGGACAAAGAAAAGGAGCGGAATGCGGGTTCGTTAGCGGCTTTCTTGATCACCACGCTGCTATTGCCGGCACTCCTGGTTGCTCCTGTAGAACGGGACATTCGAATTATCAACGTCGTCAACCCGTTTTATGCAGCAGCCGCTACCCTCCTACCTCGTTTCGATTCCTCAAAAGAAAGGTCTGTTTTCTTGAGGGAAGGCATCCGTTCTCTACGAAACATCATCGTCACACGGCATCTCCAACGTATTCTAGACGCACTCCATGCTGCACAGATACCTAAACCGGAAGAAGGCTCTTCCTCTGTCCCTGTGGTCAATACGAAAGCGCAAAAGTGAAACATCGTCGCTGTAAGCGTGTGTCCAGGCATAAGCAGAGTCGACACCATCTCAGCTCTCTTCACCGCCGATTGGACGATACGTTCCGTACCTTTCGGAATAGCCCTGTGAGTTTTATGTGCATTGCAGCGCGATATGTTCTGATTGTGCCTAGCTACATCATCCTCCAGCCCGTCGTTTGGATCTTCTTCAAGTCCTCAGAAATAACTATGCAATCCGTGCTACACGCCCTTTTCCTCTCAACGCCAACCGACCCAAGTTCCCGATGCGATGCCTGAGAAGTGTTGAAGCCCGTATTGGAAATCCCGGATGATGGAGAGTACGGCAGGGAGGTTGCTGGGAGGCTTGTTTGGGAGGCATATGAGGAGACTTTGAAGGTTTGGGAGAAGGAAAACCCGGCCAGTGAGGAGGATGCGAAAAGAGGGGAAGAGAGAAAGCGGGAACAGGAGGAGGTTGTAGACGAGGTTTCTCCGTATTGAAATGACATGGTAGACTTCATTCCAGTACTTCTCTTTTCCTATGATCAGTTAATGTGTATGCCACAGACACGCAAAAGGGTTGGATCGAAGACTCTGTAACGACATGATACCATCGCCGTGAAGATACAGAATAAGTGCTCCTGAAACGGCGGTACAAGATTCGTCGGATTCAAGTTCGGATGGGATGCTTTAAATGAAAGGGTGAAGACTCGGGGCTATCAATCGTGTTGGCGGTACAGAGTTTGAAAGTAGAATGCGTCGTTGACGTTTTGTGTCCGAGAGGGAAGCCTAGCAGGTGTCCATCGAGAGAATAGACGAGCAGCCTACATATTCAAGTTCATCCACAATTTTTTTTGCGACCAGGCTGTAAGTATGCCAAGACGTATTACCGACCGATAGGCGGAAAAAGAGAGCAATGGAGGTCATGGGGGATGATATATGATAGTGAAGGTCGTGAATATATGCGCAAGTCGTTCACGTTTAATTCTCCATAGACAACAACGTGCACACCATGATGAAAAAGTATGCAATGGATATGATGAGAATGGGATTCGAACCCATGCCCCGGAAGACCATATGTTGCTGAACAACGTTGAAAGACATCCAACGCCCTGATCTCCAGTCTGGCGCCTTGGACCTCTCACCATACATGGCTCAAGAAATCAAATTCAAGCAACACTACTCAGTCATCCAACAACGCCACCACGCCCCTGCCAGATCCTAAACTGCCTAACCACCCGGGTAATCTCCCCCTCCCAATGTGTAATCACCACCACAGCCTGTCCCTCCCAACACCACCACCTTCAGTCTAGTAATGCGTGCATGAGCAGTACAATATGCTGTTCTCCAGGGGAGAGGGACATGAACCGACGAGCTGCGGATTCTCTTTCCATCTTCAGAGTTCCTGCCGTTCCTGGTGTCGACGCACTTCGTCCAAGGGCAGATGGAACCTCATAGCACCGAGAAATTCTCCACTCTTCAAATTTCCAGCCTCACTCGGCTAGTTTCCAATCCCAACCTCAAACCCAAATTCGTCATCGCCCACACCCGCCCTCTTGCTTCCTCTAAGCAGTACAAAACCCCCTCCGAAGCCTGTAACGACTGCCTCCCAAAGTATCCTGCCTGGATGACGACGCGGGAAGGCATCGAATAATTTTACTGGGACAACGCTGATTAGCGTGCGTAGGTGAGTTGTTGGTGTACGCTTTCGTGGGTTGAGGCGGCGGCTTCGGTACTGGTGTGCCATCGAGGAGGAGAGAGACGATGACGTGGCAGGGAATAATGAGGGCAGGTGGGTGGAGGTGTGCTTGCATGTATGACTGTGGGTGGTCGCCTGTCAAGAGAGAGAGCGGCGTCGTCGTTCCTGAGCCTGTGAATGAGATAGAGGTTAGTTAGCGTATGTAGTGAGAGGTGACAGGTAAAAGCGGCATGTAGCAGAATATAAGGCCGATTCGAATCAAAGCGAGTCAACCAACATGTGGTTTTCGACGAGCCAATGAACGGGTCAAGTGAATCCACAAGCTGGGTACAATCCAAATCAAATGAAAGCGGCAAAGTCAGCTCTGTGAATCGAAGGAAAGGGCCAAAGTAAAAAACCGCGAAGCTCAGAGAGAACCTCAATTCCTGCGAGACGCGATGAAGACGCGACTGGGTCAAAATCCCCAAGATGAGGTAGTGGGAAGGATGAAAGGGCAAGTCACTGCAAACTGAAAAATGGAGAAGAGACATGAACACTTGGCCAGACTTCTCGAATGGAAAGGTCAAACGAAAAGACAGGAGATCTGGGAAAGAGACGGAGACCCCAGCTAGGAAAAAACGTTGTAGTACTCACCGTTAGGCCCTTGTAAGTGTCACCTCTCGCCTTTGCAGATCTGCCAGGACCTGTCACCGCCATGTCAGCACTTATTTCAACTGCTGGAGGGAGGGGCGGAAAGAAAAGAAAACTCGAAGAAGTGAAAAAAGATCGCACAGAAAGAGATGAAAACGGAGGAAAGGAAGTAAATTCGAGAAAGGCAAAAAAACCCTGAGAAAATGAGGAAAGAAAATGGGTGAAAGGGAAAGGAAACTCAAGGGAAAGGGGACGAAAAAGCATGGTAAGAAACGAAAACACGGAAAGAAGAGAAAACACGCGATAAAAGAGGTGCTCACGGTCCTATCCCCATACTTCACCCCAACGCCTTTCAGGTGGACGACTATCAGCATCCCCTCATCCCGCGGAGCAGCGCCGCTCAACAACCTGTTCCTCCTTCGTCCTAAAAGTCTGCAAAGTCCAGAGCGTCCGCGATGTCTCAACCCACTTTTCCGCTCCCCTCCTCCTCTGCGTAACGTCCCCCTCACTAACATCCCATACATGCGTGTTTCAGGCCGGAAGCTCTTCCTGCACGCGCGTCCCGAGCATTATATGCAGGGACCGGGATGCGTGAAGGTCTGCTAGGAGGGCAAAGAGGTAGGAGCGGGAGATTGGGTGTAGGCCAGCTAGATAAGGGGAGAGGTTCAGTATTTGTAGAAAAGAAGGGAAGGAGGCAAGAGATAGAGTGAAGGAGGGACGAAGGGAGCGAAGTAAGGGAGGAGGCGGGGTGCGGGAAGCGAGGATTCGCAAGGGTGAAAACGCGGCAATCTCGAGGAGAGAACCAAAGAAGGTTGGGGGATTGGGAAAGTTGCGAGAAATGGACGAGAAAGACGAGCACTCACTCAACGGCTCATTCAGCAAGAGCAATCCAGGGGCTTTCATGACAGCCCTCGCGCTCCTGGCCCATTACTCAGCGCAATGAGCAGGATGTCCAATAACTCCGTCAATCCTAGCTTATCCGCCCAACTCGCACTTCGAGCTCTTCCCTATCCAGAAAACTCAGACTATCCCATAAAGTGCATCCATCTTCATCCCTAACAGCCCCATAACGCAGCTGTATAATCATAGAAACCCCCTCCGGTCCCTCTCGTTCGAACGCAATGAAACCGAGTCGACGCCCGCCAAATGTGTCGAGTCCACCCAAGAAGGGGTATAGGCCTGAAGAGGGAGGCGGAGGCGACATGCAGTTGTTTCCTAGGAGTGTCTTTTCGTTCGGTTGGTTCGTTGGTTAGTTTGAGTTGAAGACAAGAAGGAAAAGGAATACCTGCAACAAAACAGTTCCACCCCTCAAACTCGAGATGACAGCCCACGCTTCTCCTTCACGGAATGTTATTATTGGTGCTTCGTGTGTAGGAGGAGCTGAGTAAGCAGGTGACGACGATAATTTGGAGGGGAAGACGCAGAGGAAGACGCGGCAGGGTGGTTGGGTATCCTTGATTTTGGTGGGAGAGTGGGAGAGCGTTCGCGAAGACGCCAACTCCGATCACTCATGATGCATCTGTGATATTTTTCTCAACTACCAATTCCCATACACAACCAGCATCCGGTGTTTCACAACCAGGAGAAGCGCTAGTGCCTACTGTCCTCGATCCTTAGTCCCGAGCAAAAACACTCAGAACAGTGTCCTTCAACTTAAGTTGGTTCGTCAATTTGTTACTTTTTGCATGAAAGATGAACCAAATGTAACGAATACGTGCACTTCCAGTAAAAGCGAACGTGCTCATTTTTATCAAGCATCTTGAACTACGCCATGGAGTGCGCGACGTTTGACGGCCACCGTCGCAGTCATCAGACTAAAATACTTACCTCGCACAACTTACCACTCGTCTTTCTCAACGTCTCAAATGTAAAGTTCAGCATGGATTCAAGTTCAGTTCACGCCTAACATGAAGCGCTACCAGCAACAGATCTGGTGCGGATGAGACGGTTGAGGGCAACACTAAACGTAACATTCAAATTGATCACGATTGTTTTATTCCCAATGCTTCGAGTCCTAGTTGCGATTGGAAAGCCCGCCAGTCATTGAGCGTCGTAACGAGTAGTGACGAAGAAGGGAGCTCGGACTGCATTGGGAGGTACAAGCACATCAATCTCCGAAGCAAAGACGTACGTCAATTTTCGAAACAGTCCTCTACGCCTTCCTGATTTGCCCTTCAGGTTTACTTTCCAGCCATCGAGACTCACGGTGAGATCTAGACTGTAAAAATTCAGTTGTTAGGAAAGGTCACCGCCCTCTGGAGTCCGACAGATTCCATGAATGACTTCGGACGCGCTGAACATTCAAGGTCCAAAACCGAGCTCTTTCTTTGTGACAGGGCCTAGATTACCAGGTATCCACCCATACCATACCATTTCAACAATAACATTCGTTCAATTTAGTTACCAGGCTCATTATCGAGCTACATTAATTAACGCTGCGGGCAAGTGCTTTAAATGCCGAGAGCGATAGTAGGGATCTTGTACCGGGCAATCAAGAAGTCGTTCGTACAATGTAATCTCTTCAGTGATGTATGTCATGTAAGTAAGAGGTCAAACTGAATCCAGAGGGCAATAGCAAGTGTTTGAGTAAATTGGAATATAGTGAATGATGTGCTGGTCAAAGAAGACTTGCCTCCCTGCGCAAGGACTTTGCCTCGTCGAGATCATTTGAAGTGCCCTGCTGTTTAAAACGAGTTTCAAGGGCATCGGCAAGGTTATTGAGTGACCGGGAGCGACGTGGATGAGGTGCTGGCTGAAGAAGAAGGGCGTCTCGGTACAAGGAAATTGCTTCATCAAGGTCGTTTGAAGCACCCCGCTGTTCAAAACGACTCTGAAGGGCAACGGCGAGGTTATTGAGTGATGAGGAGCAATCTGGATGAGGTGCTGGCCAAAGAAGAAGTGCCTCTTGGTGCAAGAAAATTGCTTCATCAAGGTCGTTTGAAGCACCCCGCTGTTCAAAATGACTTTGAAGGGCATCGGCAAGGTTATAGAGTGATGCAGAGTGAT